CATAGCCACACGTCGTCGCCGGAGTAACTGAAATGGCTGCCAACAAGACGCATCACCTGACGCTTTAACGACGCGCTTCACATGTATTGCTACACATTTTCCTTGCAAAGTTATTGCTGTGAGAACAACTTTCCCCGGGAACTACCAGTCCCGGTCTCCCCTATAGTAGCTTCTCGGTCCATTAGACGTTTTAGCGCTGGTTTTTGCGACAGATGCCAATGGGCTCGATGATCGGTATTTTGGCAATGTGTATACTACGTTCCCAAACATAATTATGATATTCTGGTACGTAACAAGTACCTACAAAATCTAATTCCACAATACGAAAAACTCTGATTGTCTATTAAGCACTTGGACTGCAAATTGTTTGATCAACTGTTTTCATGTGTTCATGACTTAGTTAATGTTTTTATACAATTAAAAGATTTTTAATTGTTTGTACTGTGTGTATATGTGGAATTAATAAAGTCACTGGTTCGATCTTGTGAAAATAAAATGTTTTTTCCTCCCTCAAATTTCTTGCATTATTATGTTTACTTTCCTCGTTATATAAACTGAAATAATTTCAATAAAACTGGTACCATAAGGATTATAGTATTATAGCTATAAAGGATGTAATGTACTGTTTTGTCATAGTTTATTATAGCTAGTCGACGCACGTTATACCTCTCCTGCCGTAAATTATAGCAAATTTTATTAAAAGACTAAGATTTGAAAAACAGCTAATTGCTTAATGGGCTTTTATCCTTTTTTACCTTTTCATCCTACAGATGATATCATTTAAAGCTAAATTATTAAGTTAATTTAGATTTGTTAATTTAGATTTTAGTAGCAGTAGAACTCCTTGTGAAAGGGTTCGTTCAGAGTAGTACTGCCACCTTACCAATTTCTGCCGCCAAGCAGTAATATCAGCATTACTGTGTTCCGATTTTAAAGGGTATAAGGGTGCTGGTGAAATTACAGGCACATGGGACTTGTCAACTTATGTCTTAGGGTGACGGTAGGTACAGTGGTAGGTAGGTATTTCAGATTTTTGCGGTTTAAGGCTCTAATTGGCACTGCAACTATTATGGATAGGCGGGCGACTTTCTCGCCCCGTTATATGACATTATAAAAAAAAAGATGAATACAACCCCTTGACTTGAAACTTGTTGAGACTTCCGAAGTTCCGAAGCTCCGCGTGGTAGCCGTAACGCCTAATCCACTACAACCTATGACCCGCAGTGGTTCAATAGTACAGGCATGAATAAACTATCACTTTTTGGTATTGCAAATTTAAACCCAAATGGACGACGGGTCTAATACAAAAACCACGAAAAAAATGTCCCAAGTCAACCTATTTAAACGTAGTGACATGTATAGGAATATGAAAAAGCTAAAACGTTAGATTTAAATTGTAATGTCATCGCAGTACTGTCTAATTTTGCTTGCTTCGCTGTCAGTCGAATAAACGAAGACTAAAGCGTGAATGACGTTCTGTATACGATTTTAACGCCCTATAAGTTCGGACACTTTAGCGCGGACCCGACGTCCATATAATTGTAAGTCAATGCCCTATCTCTATACCCACGATCGGAATAAGTCTAAAAATTCAAATAAAAATTTAACCAATGGTAATCGTTTAACCGTTTCGCACCGTACAAATACAAGATTACAAGTTATATTTATGTGACAGTTTTCTTCCTTAAATACGATCGTATGATTGTGACCAATCGGCATAAACATACGGTTAGTAGGTCACTTGGGATTTCTTGGAAAGGAAACCCCTCAAGTGACTTTGGCATTTCGTAACAACTTTATAATTTGTTCTTTTTAAAGGCATTTAAGAAGTACCGAATTTAATAAGAGAAAAACGGAACCGTAGCTTGTTTTAATGAAGCTCGTTTGAATTCTGTGGAAGAGATTTAAAAACTGTCAAAGGAAAAAGAAGAACAGGAGCCTTACTATGACCTCCTATTGCGATTCAACTTTGAACCTAAACACGTCCGTTTCGCTTATTCGTATCATGACGTCCTAAAAGCGATCATGTCAAAAGCATTTACGCCAAGGCCAAACCTAATCCTAAATTGATCCGCAACTCCCGTAGAGGGAGAATTCTCCCTCTACGGCAACTCCTTTGAAATCTTTAACATTCATTCATTTTTCGTACCATGACGTGCTATTTCACATTAGTTGATTCGATGTTGGTTCGCTGTAATATCATAAAACTCGGTTCATAAAAGTTACTCATTGCTAGCATAAATTGAGACGTTTGCTGTTGTGTCAAATAATTTTTCATTTATTTTGAGGATTTATCAATTGTGTATCAGTTAAAACGTGTTGTAAGCGGTTGATAAATAATATACTGTGTAACTAACCATAATAATAACAAGTATAAATATACGTAATCTAGTAAATTATTGTACTTTTAGATATTTACTACTACGAATTACTTCGTCGATGAAATTATTAGAATTCCTGGAGTTAGACAAACTCGAAACAAAGATTATCGCCAAAAACGGCGCGATGTAAAGGCCCATTTAGATGGAGAGAGTTTATCATCTCGAAGATACGATTATCGAAAGAATATAAAAAACTTTCCTCGTCTAAACATTCGCGATTATCGACCGTCCACGTGAGCGATAATCGCCTCGCCTTTGAATATTGAACGTCTCCGTGTAAACAGAACTCGAAAGCAAAAATTGTATTTCGGGTTTCTGTGCCAGCCGTTTCTACCACAGGTGCAGTGCAAAAGAAAAAAAAAATGCATTAAGAAATGTTATAAAATTTGAAAAAAAGAAAAAAGTGTATATTTTTATACAGTGCAATGAACTTAATATTATCAGTAGTTCCAAATTTGAATGATTTTTGTGTCATTTTGATATGTCCATAGGTAATACTTAACTCGAATGGCAGTAATCATTTAACTCGAATAGCAATTCTCACACTCAAAACGGTTCGAACCGATTTGTACGATAATCGTATGAACTTGAAA